AGTCTCCTTGCCATGAATTCCTCAAGCGACCAACATCATCTCTGCCACTCCACAGGCAGAGAAAATCACTGAAAACACCCTCTCCCCCCCTCCAAGCACCCAAGCAGCAGACACCTACCCTCTCCAGCTGAGTCTGTTCTCTGCAGCATTGCCAGCGGCCTGAGGTTGTATGCAAAGCCTTTGCAATAACTTTGCACGTACCTGCCCTCTTTCACAGTAAGAAAGACCTACTAAGGTTTCCTGTAGTAAGGGAAGAAGGAGGGGAAGAGAGCAGCTAATTGGAATGCTGTTTTACCATCTGGTAGGGATTAAGGCCTAGGCAGGTCAGCTCTGGCTCCAAGATACCTCATTGTCTCAACTGCTCTCTATTTGACACCTTTTATGTTCTCAAATCCAACCACATTCAGCTGAACATTTCCTGACAAGGGGCTGCTCAGGTGCCCAGGATGGCTCAGTGATTCCTTCTTCCTCGTGGTTGTCCACCAGAGACTTTTAGTGAGGTTAATCTGGATCAGTTTTTGAAGGCAAGGCTTAAATAGCAGGAGGCTCCCAAGCAGCCTTAACCCAGTTAAGCACCAGTCCCTTAGGAGGGAGGCCAGCTAAGCTTGTGTTAAAGCCCATCAAGTGTCCAGTTAATCAGGTACATTTTAACATCACACCTTTGGTCATCCCAGCAGAGGCCACCAAGCCTGGAGACACCTCATCATTTTTCACCTCCTTTTGTCACTTTGGTTATTTCTGCCATTACTTTGGGCAGCAAGATGAAAGGCCCAGCAGCTCTGCCCTTACCCACTTTGCTCTCCAGACTCCCCTCCGGTTTTTCTTTTCACATTAACTGTGTCACACACAGATTCTCATTGACTAAGTGCCCGAGGGGGACCCTCGCTGAGTGTTAATTGCTGCTAATGAGCTGTTGCTGCTTTCCTTCCAAGAGCATCAATTACAGCAGCACTCTAAGCTCCGCAAGAGGATGGGAGCCTGCAGAAAATTAAGGCAAATTTTACTCCAGACCCCGACATTGGACTGCCAGCAACTCCTAGGAAACACTTGAAGTCAAGATAAAACCGGGTGAAGGATGATAGTAACTCTCCTGATATTGCCTGTCCCCTTGTTCCTCATAGGGTGGACCAGGGGTGAATGGGAAATCTGTGCCTTGCTTCCCGTGCCTCCTGTTGGGCTGCCTTGCAGGGATGTCTGCACACAGCTCTCCACCCGAGTTCTTGCCTAAAGTCTCCCTCCTGCCACAAATGCACAGTCCCACTGGTGGGTTCCACCCGTGGGTGGTGGTCCAGCTGTCTCATAGCACAGCAGGACTTGTCTTCTTCCAAGTGCTGCCAGAGCAGGTGCAGGAGGGACTCAGCAGCGTGTTTCAGTGCCCACTGATATCATTCCAGCATCAACCCTTATCCCAGCTTCTGCCTCAGCCACAGCTGGCTCCATTCCCAGCAGAGTTTTCACAGAACCCTGGCATGTTGTGGGTTGGAAAGGGCTTTAAATATCAACTCATTCCAATGCCCTTCCAAAGGCAGGGACACTTTCCACTGTCACAGGTTGCTCCAAGCCCTGTCCAACCTGGCCTTGAACACTGCCAGGGACAGGGCAGCCACAGCTTCTCTGGGCACCTGTGCCAGGGCCTCACCACCCTCACGGAGAAAAATTTCCTCCTGATATCTAATCTAAACCTGACCTTCTTCAGCTTAAACCCACTCCCCCTTGTCCTGTCACTACATACTTGTAAAAAAAAATGATTAATCCTTCTATCCAAATCTCATTTCCCTCCCCTGGGTGAGGGTATAAGCTGGCACAAGCTGTAGCCCTGGAATTATAATGAGATGTTCACCAGCTAAAAAGCACTGATGCCACCACTGTTCCTCAGCTTTTTCCTCTAATTTACTTCTCTTTAAGCTGCAGCCCAAGAGGGAATTTTAAATCAGAAATGTGTTAAGATGGAAAAAGCTTTTGCTTGAGTGCTTACAATTGTGAAGAACAAGACATGGTGTTGAGACCCCTCACCAAAATGTATTGAATATGTCTACAATGCTGGTAAGAAATTGCCCAGCATCTCACTCTGACTTTCTCAACTCAATTATTTTTGGCCGTAGTAAGAAACATTCACATCCAAACCACTCTTTGTGAAAGCCTTGACATGAAGTAGAGATGACTTAACCCGTGAAAAAGATCCTAAGATTTTTGTTCTTGCCATCTTGGTCTGTAAGGAGATGCAGAGATCACCTTCAGTGGGGGTTCCCTGTCTCCTGATTGTCCCAAAGCCACAGCTCCCTGCTGGGCTCTGGCACAGGTATGAGGGAGCAGAGATGTCTGGGTGAGCAGCAGCCAGCTCACTCTCCTTCAGTTACAGACCCAAAGCTGCTGTTTGCATCAAAGCACCTGGCTCTTATTGTGCCTCCTTTCTGCACTTTGTTAAATTTTATTTCACATTATTTCTTCTGTTTTGGCATCCACCCTAAAAATCCTTCTGTAAGTTCACCAGCTGCCCTGCTCATTTAAGTATAATACCTTACATCAAATGCAAATGCAGCAAGGACTCAGCTCTGCCTGAACAAACCCCCCCAGGCTGAGGTCCCCCGCTTCTGTGTCTTGGGGTTCACCCACCAATTCTGGGGGAACGCCACAAACCTGGCCATGCTCTTCAGCAAGCACAAGTTCACCTTGGTTTTTCCCAAACACACACTACTAGTTTCCCAGCGGTTTTCCCACAAATATATGTTCTTCCCCAGAAACCATCCTCAGCAGGGATGAGCACAGGGAGGGTGGATGTCCACCAGTATCACCAGATCAGATGGGGCTTTGAGCAATCTGGTCTAGTGAAAGGTGCCCCTGACCATCACAGGAGGGGTGGAACTGGATACACGTAAAGGTCCTTCCCACCCAAACCATTCAGTGACTCCTTTTTCCTGTGATCTCTGAAGGAGCCAGCCAAAGGCAGCTCAGAAGACCTCAGTGGCAGCAGGACTCAACCCATGCCCCCTCATTTCCCAAATGCCAGGCACACTGGATTTCATTTTTCTGAGTTTAATCTTCAATCAATCATTCTTGTTCTCTGTGCAGACCAATGAGGTCTGCGGAAAGAAAATTGCAAAAGATTTGTTATTTCCCTAGTGTTCCCATTTTCCCATTCCTTTCCCACAGAAGCAAGGAGTTTTTTTGTTCTGCTTTGTTTTGTTTCCCAACTTTCAGGGGAAAATCCTGACAAATGGAAGCCCTGATTCATACCAGCAAAAATTTGGCCTTTTTCAATTTAAGGTGGAGCCCTTCTTGTCTGAGGTTGAAAACATTTCTCTAACTGCACACAGAAGCAAAGACAGAGCCTTTGCCCTGCCAAAGCCAAGGCCAAGTGGTGTTGAATGCTGATGGCCACCACAAGTGCGGAGTTGTTGTGGAGGCTTTTCATGATCAGGAAAGCACTTCCATGCTGGCTTGCAGCATGGGAAACAAGGGGACAGGTGGTCACAGGGTGGCAATGATGGCTGTCACCAAAGAGACTTCCAGAGGTGGGGAAACATCTGGGGAGGGTTGCTTGGGCAGGGACACGGCGTGATGCCTCTCTGTGTCACTGGGATGCACTGGAAGAAAGGTTCCCCATCCTCCTTCTGGTTTTCTCAGGCAACTTAAGGATGGGTGAGAAGGACTCAGGAAGGGATGGGGAAAGTGCTGCTCCTCTCTATCACCACTGCCCAAACAGAAACACCTGCTTCCCTCTTCCCTCCGTGTCCTGCCTGGGAAGGAGCAGAGAGAAGAAGCAGACTTGGGAAGAGAGATTCATGGCTACAGCCTATCTGCTCCCACAGCCCAGGGAAAGAAAAGTGAAGGAGAAAGAAGATCAAAGGACAGGTGTATCCCTAAAACTTTTCTTGACAAATGCTGCCTTCTGTGCTGCATCCCTCCTGCTCCAGAGGGCACCTCTGCCTGTCACCGGGAGTCAACAGTAAGGAATGAATTTTCTCTGACACTGAGACAGAAACGGCTTTAAATAAAACAAAAACAAACAAACATACAAACAAACAAAACAAAACAAAACAAAACAAAAAAGAAGGAAAAGCCATGACTTTTTTTTCCCCTTCCCCATCTCCATATAGAAAGTATAGGCAGCTGAGCCCTGAGTGCTAAAAGCATCAACAGGGCTGCTGGCACTTCAGAGGCTCCAGCAAGGAGAGCAGGTGGGTGCAAGCCACCAGCTGCACCAAGGACACTGTTCCCAACTACCTGGGGTCCCCCATCATGTCAATTGATCTTCCTCTCCATACCCCCACTTGCTGCTGATTCCAAAGACCTCTGGGGAGAGCAAGGGTCCCCTAACACAGCATATGGATGCTCCGTGGGTTTTAGTCCATGTGGATTTTCAAGGTATTTTGCACCCGCAGCAGATGGTAAAGGCACACATCCTCCTCCAACCAAGAGAATTTCCTTGTGAGCATCACTCCATGGCGAAAGATTCAGGAAGGCTTAGACCTTAGACCCACTCACACCTTTCCAAATCCTCCACCTCACATCTAGCACTGCTGGGTTGCCTCCTTCTCCCCACTGCAGCAATCAACAAAAGGTATTTTGAACACAAATTAAGAAATCAGACTGTAGATACATCCAAGGAAGGTGAGAAAGGGCAGCAATTCCTCAGCTACATGGCATGCAGGGGATCAGGGTAAGCAATATCCTTTGCACTGGCTGCTCTGCCCACCCCAGGGATGCCCACATTCCCTGGCATGTAACCTGAGGCTGGCAGCTCTGCACTGGGAATATCCCTGGGGTGGGGGCAGGGGGAGGAGTGTCCCTGAGTGGAAAAAACACTTGCTGGCAGGGTTTCACAGCGGGGTGCCATATCACACCAAAGGATGTGCCTCTTTTGATGGCAAACACACCCATCCCATGGGAAAACGCTGGCTTCCCACACTGGAAAGCCACTGGTCAAAAGCAGAGCAGGTGCTGGGGAGAGGGAGCACCCCATCCCTTGATGTGCCACCCCCCACGAGCCCCACGCCTACCGCTGGGGCGAGTCAGGGTCGAAGCAGGTCCTGGCCACGTCGGTGGCCCGCGGGTCGCAGCAGTCGCCGTCATCGAAGTCGTCCAACATGTTGTTGCACTCCATGTGGCAGACGCCGTCGCGGCGCTTCCAGGAGAAGCAGCGGCCGGCCCTTCGGCAGTCGCCGCCATCGTAGCCCGTGAGGGGATGCTCGCACTCGGGGTCACAGCGCTCGTTGCCCACCTTGCTGGGCTCGCAGCCCAGCAGCACGGCGCGGCGGCGCAGGGAGGAGTTGCGCACGTCCAGCAGGCTGAGCTGCCAGGAGATGTTGTAGGGCCGGAAAGCTTCGCTCAGAGCCCGGTGCTGCCGCCAGATCTGCTCCCAGGTGACCGTGGGCCGGCCGCCGTCGTCCTCGGCCAGGTTCACCACGCGGTAGCGCAGCACCTTCCAGCTGCGCAGCGGCCAGTGCTGGTTGTAGTGCCCCGCCAGCTCCACGTTGTCGCAGGCTGTCTGCCCGCACGCAGGGGGGCCCAGCGGCCGCAGCACGGGGGAAGGTGGGGACAGCAGCACCCGCTGCTGGGGGAAGGCACCCTCCCGAAAAGGCGCCCAGCGCTCCTCCGGGGTGGCAAAGCCAGCGGCCAGAGCCAGCCCCGCCGTCTCCTCGGCCACCTCCTCTAGAAAGGAACGCTGGAGGTGGGACTGGGACAAGGCACCACGCCACAGGGCCAGCCCGGCCAGGTGTCCCCGGAAAGTGTGGGTGGTCCCCCAGGCGTCCCCCCCCAGCAGCAGCGTGTGACAGGAGGACATGAAGGCACTGTGCAGGGGTCCCTCCTGCCCGCCGGAGCGGCCCACCCGCACCCCATCGACGTAGAGAGCCATCCACCGGCCATCGTAGCTGGCGGCCAGGTGTGTCCACGCCTCAGGGCGGTAGCGGCGGTGGGAGGTCACCTCGGTGGCGGCGGCCGCCCGGTCCGTGCGGAGGGAGAAGAAGAAGCGGGCGTCCTTCTTGCCATTGAGCTGCAGGGCGCGGATGCCCAGCGCCCAGCCCTTGTCGCTGGCTGAGTGCGAGCAGTTGTTGAAGACACCTGCAGCAGGTCGGGGACAGGGATGGAGACAGAGAGGAGAGCTGGTAAGGACCAGAGAGCATGACCACTCCTCCCTGGAGCACAGGCTGGGTGCAGGTAAATGAAGGTGGTCAGAGGCTGGGCAGTGGGTGCTCTGCCAGGAGTGACACCCCAGCCCCCATTCAAAATCATTTGGATGAGTAGGTGGAGCAGCCAGGAAGAATGGCAGAGCCAGAGAGGCAGGATGGAGAGAGGAGGAAGAGCACGGATGGGAGGAGAGGCTGAAGAGCGAGGTGTTTCTGAGTTGCTCTCTGTAGGAGTGCTCTGGCGGGATGGGATTAGAGGCTAAGCTTTTTATCTGCGAGCCAAAGCTTTTAAGAATTAGAGCACAGCAACCCAAAGCAATACAGGCTCCTCCAGGGACTGCTTCCCCAACAGCTTCCAGGCAGATTTACAGCTCTCGTTTATGCTCCAGTTTCCCTCCCAGTCATGCATCCACTGCTGGCAGGAGAGGGCTGGAGAGGGCTGCTCCTCTCTCCACTCTCCTCTCTCCACTCTCCTCTCTCCACTCTCCTCTCTCCACTCTCCAGGCTGGCGAGTGCACTCCTCAGCCCCTAAGGTCACCTGAACATAAATCTACTCCCAGGAACAGCCTCTCCCTCTGTGCTCAAGCATGTTGTGAACCTGTTCTAGGCTGGGCAAGACCTGGAGCTGTGTTGATTTTCCCCCAGATTGCTGAGTGCCCACGGCAAAGAACCAGAGGCTTGCAGGCATGGAATGCCATTGGGAATCAGTGGGCATAAGGCACTTAAACTCTGGCAAGGATAAAGGGACCTGCTGCTTGAAATAAATGCCTCTGGGCTCCTAAACCACCACAGCCAGGACATTCATGCAGGCCATTGCTGAGGTGAACGAGCTTGAAGTCACTCTTTGAGTGACCAGTGGAGTCTTCTGGGGGCACCCTGCCCTCTCATTCATCACCCCTACAAACTGTGTCCCAGCGATGACAAAACCTGCTGCCATGCCCAGAAACTCTTCTTATGTTCCTGCTAGGGTATTTCTTAACCTCCATCCTGCTTTTCCTGCCACTCACTGTGCCATTCCTATTACACACACTGCTTGCCCACCTTTATGGCATCAGGACCTCGTGGTCCAAAACAAAGCACCCCTGCTTGTGCCACTGTCTCGCCTGTCCCTGGGGATACCCCACCTGCTGCCAGAATTGTGAAGAGGCCAGTAGAGAGAAGCAGAGGTGCAGACCAGAAGGAGCTCCAGGAGGAGCAGGATCTCCTGGCTCTCATCCAGGGGATGTGTCTGAAGCCAGGTTACCATGACCCCATGCTTCCCCCTTATAAACACGGCTGGCAAAGGCCACGTCAAGCCCTGCTGCAGCCCAGGAAGCAGCATCCCTCCCTCCCTCCATCCATCACTTTCACCAAGGGCGAGATGGGTGGTGGCCTCTAAACCATCCCACGGCCGTAACCACCCTGGGCGTGGATCCCTGTCACTGCTCACTACAAAGGCAGCCACGCACAAAGACTCCGTGGGTGGATGGGCTTTGGCCAACTCTTGTTTTCTGGTGGATTGTGAAAGGGAAGCAGAAAGACCAGGGAAGCTGAAACCAGGAGAAGCCAAAAAGCAGGAGGCCAGCAAAGGAGCCTTGCAGAAGTGAGAAGGCAAAGTTGGAGAGTGTTTATGGGCTGGGTGCTAGCTGAAACGTGCTGAGACCTGCATGCTCAAAAGCCATCTTTTAGTCCTCACTGGGGTTGAGGAAACAGGGCTTGGTACCTTCCCTCTTGGGAAAACTCATGCAGTTCACCTTGAAATGATTCAGAGCACCCCAAATTTGATTAAACCCCAAGATAAAAATGGGAAAAACAGCATCAGGGTTGGAAAAACAGCACCAAGGTTGGAACAGTCCCTGGGGTGAGAGTAAGCTATCACCTCACAAACCCATGCTGGAGCCAAGCCATGCCTGGCAGTGCCTGATGAGTTCACCACTGGCCAAAAGAAATTTAAGTGAGCCCAGAATCAGGTTTGAGGACTTCATCAAAGCCCTCAAAGGGATGTAAGTAAGGCCAAGGCCAGCTCTACAACAGGGGAGGAAAGTCAGTAAATCAGCAGCTGGTCCATCCTAGACATGGCCAGGGATGACATCTCCACATCAGCAGCAGTGAAGGTTCTGCAGGCAGAGCAGCATGTCCCACAGCCAGCAACCACTGCAGAATAGTGTAACAAAAACAGTCTAGCACCAGGTCCTGACATCTCTCAAGGGCCTTCATGAGAAATCATCAGGGAAGCAGTTTGAAGACCCCAGAGTTTACCAAGGAGTATTTTATTCTGAGGCCACCCACCAGAAGGGAAAGCTGTTTGTAGAAGTATGAGGCATCTCCTCAGCAGCTTTAAGTGCAGCTCTGCCTCTGGTCCCTCAGGCAGGAAAGAGGAGCTCTAGCCTGGTTTAGGCTGTTCACCTGTGCCTTAGGGGAATTGCCTCTGGGGGTTGAAACAAGAGTTGTTGGTAACTGCAAAAAAATTTGAAGAGGAAGGTACCTGCCAGGGAAGGTCATGGAAGAAAAGCACACAAAGAGATCAAGTGTGCCCCTTTGTAAGGACCACACTGCAAAGAGCCTCTGCCACTGGGGCCAGGAGTTTTGCAGCACAAGGAACAGCTTTCACTCATGCTTTGAAACCCAGATACTGGGAGAAATCGGCTGCTAATGCTCCAGAGGGTGTGACAAAGGCCAGGAGCCTCTAGTCCTGGTCACCCCTCAAGGTATGCAGTGGGAACCAGCTCAGGGACCCAAAAAGGACATCTGGATTTAGACACAGAAGATGTTTTAGATGGTCTCTGGTGAAGGATCTGACCCAACAAAATCACCTACAATCTGAGTAAAAACAAACCTTAGACTGGCACAAAGGGAAATTCCTTGGGGTCCACCAGAAGCAGAGCAGGCATAGATGGAAGGGAGACAAAAAAGGTAGAAAAGGAAACAGCATCACATGAAAGTCTCTAATCTGCTGTCCAAAATCACTAGGACAAGGAAGAAGGACCAATTTCCTTCCCTAAGAGTGGCTGAGGCAGGTTTTACCTCAGCAGAAGTCCCCCATGAAGGAGTGACCAAGAAGGATGAACAGCCCCATCCAGGGTGGCCCTGAGACAAAATGTGACATCTAGGGGGAAAAAACAGTGACTCCTGAGCCTTCAATCCAAGCAGCAACCACAGCAGCTGACAGGACAGCTTGCTTTCTGTGATCAGAGCTGCTTTAGCCTGCCCTTGCTTCCCAGGCACTGATGCTGGGAGAGCTCAGCTCTGCCCTGCTTTCCTCCTGCCTTCCCTCACACATGGACACTTGGAGCATCTCCAGCTCCTCCACACCTCTGGATGACCTCAAGCTCAGTCGCCTCTCGTTCGACAGAGCAGGAGCAGCAGATCAGAAGCAGACTCGGCACCTGCCGAAAGCTAGCAGCTGCTGCTGTCACCTGCTCACCCAAAACGCCAGCAGAATTGGGCTGGCCCCCTTTGGCCACCCACAGCCAGGTCCCTCTGTCCCAAGTGCAGGGAGACAGGGGGAAGTGAGCAGTGACTCAGACAGCCAGAGGTTCCTGGGGCTGACTCAAACCCTGGAGCAGGGAAGCTGGGGGATATTACTCGAGGAAATGCCAGCGCTCACGGGTGGTGCTTTCAGCACTAACGACTGTCCCACCCTCCAGAAGGAAATTAAAAAATAAAGAATAAAAAATTGTAATAAAAAATCTCTGCTGGCTAGCTGGGAAATTCAAACCCCAGCACCTGCAGGCCAGACCTCCAGATGCAAACAGCTGTGCTGCTGCTGTGATGACTGGGAATTGTGCTGCCTGCCAGCAGGGGGGCATCGAGGATGCCAGTGGGAAGACAGACAGAAGGGTGGATGTTGGGGAGTTTAGTAGTTTCCTTGTACGTGGCTGGTTTTCCCCTCTGCCACAGACTCCAGCTTGTTCCTCCTACCTCTTCCACAGCACAGGTGTGGTTATTACCCTATAACTGAGGAGATCAATCATTGAAAGGGACCAGGCAAAGCAGAGGGAGCTTCAGTGGGATGATCACAAGGCAAGGGAGAGTTAGGATAGAGAGAGGGATTCCCCAATCAGCTTGGCTGGGGCAGCACAGAAATACAGGAGCCTGCACTGTGGGAACCTCAGATATCCTGGCACTGATGTCTGTTCCCAGCCCTTCCTAGCATCCTTGCACTGCTCTGCCGAGCTTGTACCCAGACACAAACACCCATCCTGGCACAGCTGAATGAAGCACCACTGCAGGAGGTGACATCTGCCCTGCTCTGTGCTGTGTGCCAGTCTTCTCTGTCTCCTCAGCTTCTCAATCACAGGATCATTAAGGATAGGAAAAAGCCTTTGAGGTCAAGTCCAACAGTTAACCCAGCACTGTTAAGCCCAAATAAACCATATCCCTAAGCACCACATCTATATATTTGTTAACAATTACAGGGATGATGATTCTACCACTTCTCTGGGCAGCCTGTTTCAGTGCATGACAACTCTTTCAGAGATTACATTTTTCTTAGTATTCAGCATAAACGTCTATTGGCACAATTTAAGGTAATTTCCTCTTGTCCCATCACTTGTTTCTTGGGAGAAGAGACAGACAATCACTACATTCTCCTTCCAGGTAGTAGTGGAGAGCAACACGGTCCCTCCCGAGCCTCCTTTTCTCCAGGCTGAGTCTCCCAGCGCTCTCAGCTGCTCCTCATAGCACTCGCCCACCCCTCGCTGGTGTCTCAGCAAGCTCCCGAGGGGCA